AATTGGGTCAGGGATCGGTATCGTCCCAACATAGATTAGAGATTGATGGATTAGTTCTATTAGAGATCAGCTAAGTAGCTTAGATCTCCAACAATTATCTTCTTTAATAAGCTTATAATAGTCTTAGTCTTCTACTAGCTATAAGCTCGTAATAAGCAAAATAATAGCTTAAACAGTAGCCTAAGCTTTACGTATAGCAATAGCGATCTCTTAATCTTAATCGCGCACTTACGTATAATTTAGACTCTATTATAGAGTGGTTTAATACCTTTATAAGCCTAATTTAGACGTACGGTATCTTACTATAAGATATTTAGAACTTTAACGAGACTAGCTTTCGCATTAGAATCAGAAAAGATTAGTAGGTTATTACTTTTAAGCCTCACCGCCATGTCTATTTACTAACGACTAATAATTATATATTATTAACTATAACTGAGTGCTTTAACGCTGCAGGCCACGCTATCCTACTAATAATTATTATTAAAGGCGACGCGCTCCTTAAGCGCTACTTTACTAATTTACTAGATAACTATCTAATCGCGTATAGTTATAGTAGCTATATAAATAATTAATCAAGCTATAAGTAGGTAAAGTACTTTATATAATAGAGCTAGAAGTATATTTAGGATGTATATTAGCTGCTTCTGTTTAATAGACTTAATTTACACTACACCTAAGAGTTTCTAGAAGTCCTCAAAGATTGTAAGGTTATTGCCTATCGGCTGCCTCCACATACGTCTCACTTTCTCTAACTACTTAATATGGGCTATTTCTAGCTGTATAAGTACTGGCACGCGTAGGCTGTTAATTATGCAACCTAAATAGGCTGTATAGCTTTTAATAAAGTTAAGTTCTTAGCTACTATTAAGTTAATCTATACCTATACATTTAAGCCCTATATAATATAAAAAGGCTAGAGGAACTTAGAATTATATCTATAAGATATCAAGCTTATTAAGAGCAATATATAGAAAGATTTTACTAATTAGAATACTAACTACTAAGATACTAGTAGTAGTAGTGATAGTAGTAGTAACACTACTGTGGATAGAACACCACCACCACCAGAGCTGAATACACCTCTGACAGTCCGGACGCTCAAGCGCAATATTGACTATTGTCTAGAGAATGAAGAGCTTAGCGAGAACGTAAAGCGTACGCTGTTTAGAGTGTATAATATCCGTGCCAAGGCTTAGCTTATTAAGCTAAGT